TAGGGACCAGGGCTTGCGATTTGACTCCTTGCTCACCCCATAATCATAATGATATAAGACGGAAACATATAATAAAGATGACAAAAAGATGATAAACGACTACAAAAAGATGACAGAAAGATGATAAAAGATGATAAAAGATGACAAAAAGATGATAAAAGATGATAAAAGATAAAAGATGATAACGATAGAAGATGATTAAGATAAAATGCTTTCAAAAACAAAGTCCAAACGATGACCCGATTAAAAGATGATAAAAGATGATAAAAAGATGACAAAAAAGATGATAAAATATTATAACAAAAAGATAACAAAAGGTGATAACGATAGAATATGATTAGGATAAAGGATGCTTTCCAAACAAGATCCAAACGATGACCCGATTAAAAGATGATAAAAGATGATAAAAATATGACAAAATGATAAAAGATTACAACAAAAAGATAACAAAAATGTGATAACGATAGAATATGATTAGGATAAAGGATGCTTTCCAAATAAGATCCAAACGATGACCCGATTAAAAGATGATAAAAGATGATGAAAATATGACAAAAATGATAAAAGATTACAACAAAAAGGTAACAAAAAGGTGATAACGATAGAATATGATTATGACAAAGGATGCTTTCCAAATAAGATCCAAACGATGACCCGATTAGAAGATGATTAAAGGTGACAAAAAGAATAAATTAATTGAATTAATTGTACAGAATTGAATTAAATTATTTAAATCCCCCGGCCTCTTTAAATAATTTAAATAATTTAAACAAGTTACATGGTCGGAAATTCGGCCTCAGGCGACTCCGGCCCAGAGCCTGGACTTGGGAGCATTTAAACAATTTAAATAATTTAAATACGCGCAATAAAATTGCCTCCGGGCAAAATTTGGCCAAATCGAGCCGCGCATTCCTTATCGTGTACAAAGAGCAGCCCGACTTGGCTAAATTTTGCCCGGAGGCTGCCGGGAAAAATTTGGCCAAATCGAGCCGCGAGAGTTTATATAGTTTCGGGCCTTCAGAAAGGCGCGGCTCGATTTGGCCAAATTTTGCCCGGAGGCTGCCGGGCAAAATTTGGCCAAATCGAGCCGCGAGAGTTTATATAGTTTCGGGCCTTCAGAAAGGCGCCGCTCGATTTGGCCAAATTTTGCTGGGCAGTCTGCGGGCAAAATTTGGCCAAATCGAGCCGCGAGTCTGCGGGCTCAGAGCTTGGATTTGGAAGCATTTAAATAATTTAAATAATTAAAATAAATAATAATAATTAAATAATTTAAATAATTTAATTGGGCCGAATTAAATTATTTAAATTATTTAAATCCCCCGGATAATTTAAATAATTTAAATAATTTAAATAATTTAAATAATTTAAATAATTTAATTGGGCCGAGTTAAATTATTTAAATTATTTAAATCCCCCGGCCTCTTTAAATAATTTAAATAATTTAAATAATTTAATTGGCCTGAATTAAATTATTTAAATTATTTAAATTATTTAAATTATTTAAATTATTTAAATGGTCGGAAATTCGGCCTCAGGCGACTCCGGCCCGATGCCTGGATTTGGGAGCATTTAAATAATTTAAATAATTTAAATAATTTAAATAATTTAAATAATTTAAATAATTTAAATAATGGGCCGAATTAAATTATTTAAATTATTTAAATCCCCCGGCCTATTTAAATAATTTCAAAATAATTTAATAATTTAAATAATTTGATTGGCCTGAATTAAATTATTTAAATTATTTAAATTATTTAAATTATTTAAATAATTTAAATGGTCGGAAATTCGGCCTCAGGCGACTCCGGCCCGGAGCCTGGATTTGGGAGCATTTAAATAATTTAAATAATTTAAATAATTTAAATAATTTAAATAATTTAATTGGGCCGAATTAAATTATTTAAATTATGTTTAAAATCCGAATTAAATTATTTAAATTGTTTAAATCCCCCGGCCTCTTTAAATTCTTTAAATAATTTAAATAATTTAAATAATTTAATTGGCCTGAATTAAATTATTTAAATTATTTAAATCCCCCTGCCTCCTTAAATAATTGAAATAATTTAAATAATTTAATTGGCCGGAATTAAATTATTTAAATTATTTAAATTATTTAAATTATTTAAATAATTTAAATGGTCGGAAATTCGGCCTCAGGCGACTCCGGCCCGGAGCCTGGATTTGGGAGCATTTAAATAATTTAAATAATTTAAATAATTTAAATAATTTAAATAATTTAATTGGGCCGAATTAAATTATTTAAATTATTTAAATCCCCCGGCCTCTTTAAATAATTTAAATAAATTAAATAATTTAAATAATTTAATTTGCCTGAATTAAATTATTTAAATTATTTAAATTATTTAAATAATTTAAATGGTCGGAAATTCGGCCTCAGGCGACTCCGGCCCGGAGCCTGGATGTGGGAGCATTTAAATAATTTAAATAATTTAAATAATTTAAATAATTTAACGGAAATTCGGCCTCAGGCGACTCCGGCCCGGAGCCTGGATAGCATTTAAATAATTTAAATAATTTAAATAATTTAAATAATTTAAATAATTTAATTGGGCCGAATTAAATTATTTAAATTATTTAAATCCCCCGGCCTCTTTAAATAATTTAAATAATTTAAATAATTTAAATAATTTAAATAATTTAAATAATTTAATTGGCCTGAATTAAATTATTTAAATTATTTAAATCCCCCTGCCTCCTTAAATAATTGAAATAATTTAAATAATTTAATTGGCCGGAATTAAATTATTTAAATTATTTAAATTATTTAAATAATTTAAATGGTCGGAAATTCGGCCTCAGGCGACTCCGGCCCGGAGCCTGGATTTGGGAGCATTTAAATAATTTAAATAATTTAAATAATTTAAATAATTTAAATAATTTAAATAATTTAAATAATTTAATTGGGCCGAATTAAATTATTTAAATTTTTTAAATCCCCCGGCCTCTTTAAATAATTTAAATAATTTAAATAATTTAAATAATTTAATTGGCCTGAATTAAACTATTTAAATTATTTAAATCCCCCTGCCTCCTTAAATAATTGAAATAATTTAAATAATTTAATTGGCCGGAATTAAATTATTTCAATTATTTAAATTATTTAAATTATTTAAATTATTTAAATAATTTAAATGGTCGGAAATTCGGCCTCAGGCGACTCCGGCCCGCAGCCTGGATTTGGGAGCATTAAAATAATTTAAATAATTTAAATAATTTAAATGATTTAAATGATTTAAATAATTTAATTGGGCCGAATTAAATTATTTAAATTATTTAAATCCTCCGGCCTCTTTAAATAATTTAAATAATTTAAATAATTTAAATAATTGAAATAATTTAAATAATTTAAATAATTTAATTGCGCGGAATTAAATTATTTAAATTATTTAAATCCCCCGGCCTCCTTAATCAATTTAAACAATTTAAATAATTTAATTCGCCTGAAGTAAATTATTTAAATTATTTAAATCCCCGGGCCTCTTTCAACTATTTACATAATTTAAATAATTTAATTGGTCTCAATTAAATCATTTAAATTATTTAAATCACCCGACTTATTTAAATAATTAAATGGGTTGTATTTTTTATTTAAATTATGTAAATAATTTAAATTATTTAAATAATTATCAGTTAAATAGAAAAGAAGAGAGGTTAAATAGACCCGAAAGGTTGCTCTTTCATATATATATTGATACTATATAGATCTCTCTCTCTCTCTCTCTCTCTTCGTCTCTGTCTATCTCTCTCTCTGTCTCTCCCTGTATCTCTCTTGATGTATCCCTCTCGACGTCGTTTTCTATCTATGTCTCGACATCCCAATTTGCTATCACTCTGTGTCACGATCCGTCCACCTATCTCCGTGTGACCCAATTGAGTCTGTCGCTCTGCCGCATGACATATCTATCTCTTCATCCACATGTCTGTTTGTTTGTTTCGTTTCGTTTTGTTTGTTTGTAGATTCTGCAACTCCACAACAAACCGATTCTGCAAGACTTCCTCCAATCACGGAAGTTGAGAGGGTAAAGCATCGGGTTCCGCAACTTCCCTACCCGTCGGGCACTTCCACTCTTCTCACGCCTTCTTATCACCTCTTTCTCCACAAGTCGGAAGTTTGGCCTTAGATTATTGACGTGCTGTGACATGCTTCTTTGCTGGACATCAGTTGAGTTCATCGGTTCCTTTCAATCCGCGGCAGCGCGCGTGAATTCTGAGCTCAGGACCGCTGTGATTGTTCCCATGCTCATGGCGACGCTGGCAGATGGCCAGAACCTGCTGCGGATCACGGTTTTGTCATCCTTGCGTGCCACCAATGCGGCTGATTGGCAGTTGAAGTCCCTCAGCCCGCAACATAGCGCTCTGGTTTCCCCACATGTCTAGGAACAGTGTGTTGGCAGTAGGCTCACAGGCCTGACAACGGCGAGCCCTTATTTCTCTGCTGAGTACTGCCTTGGTTTGAGCACCGCATCCGCGCTCACCACAGTTCGTTTGCAGGATTGGCGGTCTGCTCGGTCGAAGGGTGTATCCTTTATTCTGTCGCCGAGATGCTCCTGTGTCGGAGGTCGCAGCCTGAGCGGGTGATGGAAGGCATGCAAAGATATCGAAGAAGACTCGAATGAAGGGTAATCCCATTCCCCTCTCTATGTGTCTTTGGTGGAGTGTTGGCTTGGCGCATTGAAGCCATCATGCACTCACAGAGGGTTTCAGCATTCCGCAGTCTCAGTGATTGCAATTCAGTGAGGAATTTGCTGCGAGAATGCTGAGACTCTTGAAAAAAGTACGCAAGGGCCGCTTGACTTGGTCTAGTTTTTCAATGTTTCGACTTGTCTTGGTGCTTTGTCGGATCGTGTCACACATGCACAGTGGTCACTAGGGACTAGAACCTTCTTTTGATACACACGTTTAGATCGCCCACCTGCGTGTGTTGCAGTCTCTCGGAAGGCCAGCATGTGATTGTCACGGTGCCGGAACATCGACTCTCAATGGAGAACAAGGCCATTGAGCTTGCATGGAACGGCGAGACGGGTGCCAGTCGCGTGCTTCATCAAGCTCTTGATCTGCTCAAGACACACGGGAGAGACGTTTTGGATGAATCCGATGAGACCCTCGGTATCGGATCGGATTCTTTCACATTCAGCTCTGGGTCAGTTTGAGTCTGCAAAACGACCAACAGGTGATCTCGTCGAAAGCTGCATGAAGACCCTGCAGGAACAACAAAAAACAACGCAGAATAAATCCTGAGTTTGTAACAGGGTGCCTACCCCTCTTCTTCCCACGTTCAGACGCTTGTTTGCTCTTAGGGTCCTATCTCGGTTTTTCTGGCAGTTAAGCTTGGCGAAAGTGAGGATTCTACATGCAAAGTACCAGCTCATTTACACCCTGGGCAGTCCCACTCCTCTTGATGGTGGGGCTTTGCGGTGGAGAGTTGCAGCTGCTGTGCTAGCTTCAGTTGCAAGGCATGCTTGTGAGTTGGTCCAAGAGTTTGGGCAAAGGGCCCTGTTGCCCGTGCCGGATACGCCCGCGCACCAGTTTCCAGAGAGCCTTCGTTTCTGTGATGCATCCTTGCTTGAACGTTTTATGTCCTTAGAGTTGACCATTTTTGCTTGTCGCATAAGCCCAGCTAACTCAACCTGCAGCGCCACTTCGGCACCATCTACAAGACACCTGAGTTTTTGCAAGCTCATCAAAATGCTCTTTCGAGTTTTGTTGCTTTCTTTTCTCTGATCCTCAGGTTTGCTCGCCGGGGCGAGTGAGACACAGCCACGATTGGGTTGCAGCTGCTACCAGCACCTCTGCCGGAGAGTGTTGGATGATTTCCTCGCAGGAGCTGCCGGCTTCTCACTGCGCTTGCGTGCAGCAGAGCGCCAGCACTTCCAGGAATGCGTGCTGAATCCTGACGCTTGGCCATGTTGAGACTAACTTAGATCATTCTCCTTGCTCATGTACCACCGTGCTCATCATGTTTCTTTCTCATGGCCACCACAGGATCCCTTTACCAGCCCTGCTAGCTTTCGTCCCTTAGCCCTGTCCGGCCCCGTCCTCAAGTTCCGTGGCCGCCAATTGCAGGAAACGGAAGACACACCATGGGCCTACTTGGCCGACGGCATCCAACCCTTGGCGCAACTGCTCCGGGGTCTCTTGAGTCACGAGGCGCTGGGACAGTCCAGTGGGTCGGGGACTGCGAGTTTTTCCATCTTGTTTTGTGTTTACACATGATCCGATATTTAAATGACACCGCCGGATACATTTTGTTGTGTCAGTTTGTTACTGGTTAGTATCACTTATCACTACTTTGTAGCAAAGTATCTGATGTACCTGAGATTACTACTAGTTTCTAAAGCTTGTCTTGACCTGGCGACTTAGTGACTTTCACGTTCTCACTGCCAGCGCCTCGGCCTCAGGTGCTGCTGTTGGTGCTTAGCAAGCGCTACCGCGTGGACTACGGGGCACACCCCGAAGGTGTGCGCCGAATGGCAGTGCCGTACCGGGCCAAGGATGCGGCCGCAGAGCGGGCGGAGTTTGGACATCCCGATGTGGCGATGATGCTCAGCATTCTCACGTGCGCTGGGCGTTGGATGTGTTGTTGCATGTTGCTGTTTTTTTTCCACCCGATCGTGTTGTGTGCTTTTTTGTTTTTGTTGCTGCATCCGCTGTCCTTCCCGCCGTCCTTCGCCAACAGCAACAAACATCATCATCAACATCGACACATCAAGACACCTCAACATCAACACATCATTATGAAAATGCAGACCCATCAAGACATTAACGTCAAGGTATCAACCTCCACAACGAAACACATGTCCCCGTTAAAGGTACGAGGAACAGCGTCAACACCTCTTAGCTACCGGAGCGGATTTCGCGTGCCAGAGTGACCTGGGTTGAGCAGGTGCAACTTCGACACTGCGTTGCCAACCTGTACGGCCTTGGCTGATTGTTGCAACGGGATCGGCAAAGCGCCAAAGATTGAGGCAAAAACAAAACTGCACCAGCACGTTCATGCTCCGCATTCAATTGTGAAAATCATTACAGATGGACTGACACTTGAAGGGCCGAACTAATTGTGCTTGCTCGGCATTGGCTGTTATTGGGCACAACTCGAAACCCGTTCAATTTCCAGCCATGGGTCGCCATTGCTGTGCGCAGCAACCGGGACAACGGACTCTTTGACCCACCCAGGAACTGTCCACCCAGAAATGCAAACAGCCCAGCAACAAGCAACCCAATGCCCGATGGCAAAGACACATTCCACCCGGTCTATGCAATTAAGATCCACGGACAGATATGCCTGTGAATGTGAACTGTAGCGTGTGGACAAACCTTGTTCGAAGAATTTATTTCCTGGCCGGAAAGGATGAACGAACATGCTTTTGGTCCAAAAATGTTGTATGAGTCTTTCTTGATCTTTCTTGTTTCTGGGTGCAGGTACTACCGCGGTGGACTTTGTGAGGCCTACCTGGACGAGGCGGGACCTTTGGTGCTGCAGCAGGACATGAGGTCCAAGCCAGGTATGTTGGTGGTTTTTCGTTAGGTAGGTTTAAGGACCTGATGGGAGGCCCTCAATAGGTGACAGCAGGGTCTCCCTCGGAGGTCTTTTGGAGATTGCAGCAGAGGGCCAGTGAAGAAGCCGCCTCAATCTACGAGCGATGGACCAACGAGATGAAGGACGGTGAGTTCTAGAAAGGTCAGTGCCTGTTCATCCAGTTCGTCGGCTGCGTAGAGATGTTGGTCTTGTTGCATCCATCATGAAGTTTTGCGTTATATTCTTGCGGTGCTGCTTCCTACCAGGAGCACATGCCCGAAGATCTGCGCAAGTGGTCGGGGGTCAACCTTGACAACCGGCAGATGATCCTGCAGAGGCTCTATCCACTGTTGCGGAGGCACACAGGAGTGGTGGACTTCTGGTTGGATGAAATTGTCTTTCCGGTGGAGGCCAAGTGCTTTCCCCAGAAGATCACGTCAACCGCTTGGGATTTGTGCACCCCGGATCATGTGACCACGGGCTTCTCTGGCACCGATGACACGCGCCTTCTTTTGCCATTATCCATCCAGCAAATAAATTTACCTTCTTTGGCTTGCACCAATGGGATCGTTCTGAGGAACCTCCTGCAGAAGGCCCAACGGAATGCATCAGATGGGCATACTGTAAGTGTTGATTTTGGGAGAATCATGTCTTCAGCGTTAAATCAAGTTTGGCAAGGCACCAAAACGCGGGCCCCTTTGTTGACAGCTGACTGGCCTTGGTGCACGCAGCTGCCTCCCTGCAGGACAATAATGAGTACACGACATTGCGGCCTGAAGAACATCCAAATGGCCAAAGCCTCCTGAGCCAGATCTGCCGGAAGGACCGGAAGCCCATTGACGTCTTGCTGGATGCAGGGGCTTGGGTGACGGACATGTCCAACGAAGAGCTAGCATCTAAGTGGCTGGAACTTCGTACTGACATGGAGGCTGTGGTGTTCTTCGGGCCCGACAACGACATTTTGGTGATGACCCGTGCGGGCTGGAAGATGTCTTTAGCGACATCGCCCTACGAAGCTTCTCTGAAGGGATGTCTCGTATACTTGGATGACGTCCACACGCGCGGCTCCGACTTCCACCTCAGTCCTGGCACCCGTGCTGCTGTGACGTTGGGCCGCCGTATGCAGAAGGACAAACTGGTTCAGACCTGTATGCGCATGCGCCTGCTGGGCCAGGGCCACACGGCGCCTTGGCTAATGGAAGGGATGGAACGTGTGAGAGTAGTCTTCATCAATCTTCGTAGCCACATCACAAATGCGTATTAACAAATGGTGAAGTCACTCTTGTATCGCTCATCATCCAGGCTCTCGCTGAGGCGCACGACAGCCAAGATTACAGTTTGGAGGTAGTTATGTATGCTTTCTGTGCATTGTCTAGGGGATAAGAGACTGTTACAGCTTTCAAGCAAAGACTTCTGACGTTCCAGCACGTGAGCCAGCTTGAACTCTATGACTATAGGTCTCCCGGCATCGTGCCAGTTCTTGCGCCCATTTGTCGTCAAAAGGAACGCAAAACCCGGTCACCATTCGCCACTAAGGTTTCGTTCTACGCCTCGTTTGAAGTGGATCAGCACATTGAGAGCATCCGCAGAAGCAGAGATGCAGAAGGAGGAACATCCTGCGACAATCTGCTGGCAATCCTATCCTGGTGCTTGGCCAACACCGCCCAAGGCATCGCTGACAATCTGCCATACTGGGCAGCACAGGGTGTGAACAGGTTTCAGAAGAAAAAGGCATATCTCGAGTACAATTGCTCCTTGGTTTTGCCTCAGATGAAGTTTCACTTGTGATCTGCCGTAAACCCGAGATCTAACGAGTTTTGGACCAACTCTGAGGCCCTGATCCTGAGCAGTGTCAGCTTGAGTCGTTGGCCAAAGCTTGCGCGGAGGATGAGAGGTGGTGCCTGGAGGAGATGTATGGCCACACCCGGGTGCGCTGCTTTATGCCGGAGGTGGTCGCTTCAATGATCCAGCGGAGGCAGCCGATGGAGGGTGAGATGCTCCACATCGTGCAGCACGTGAAGAGGTTGGCTGCGAACATCCGCTGCCCTACCAGCTTGCTGCAGGAAGAGCAAGAGAGGGAATTGGAAGCCGAATTGGAGGAGGAGCGGCGGGACCGGTGTGTAATCTCAAACGCTACGCGCAGTCCGCCTTGGCCCGGCATTCAGGCTGTAGCTGCAAGAGCTGTGGGGTTGGGGCAGACAGGTGGGGTGATCCATGGTGGGTCCTGATACTCCACCGGAGGCCGAATAAGGAGGATCTGAACGCCTCTCGCCGGGGCCGAGGCGAACTTTGACTGTTCTAGGAATCACAGTTACTCGAACAAGACTAGGTACCCCGTTGACTCCGCTCCCAAAACAACTTGAAGTCCCTTGGTTACCATTCGCTATTCCACTTGCCACCTTCAAGTGTCCTTCGCCAATGTTGGTAGTCTGTTGAAGTTGCTGTGGCAAATTCCTGGAGTTCTTCATTTTCATCTGTAGCGTGGCACCCCGTGGCCAGGAGCGCCAGATCGAACGGCCTCCAGCAGCCAAGCCAGCGAGACCTCAAGTGTCTGCTGGGCTCTTGGAGCACCTTGGAGGAACAAAGTCGGGGCAGAACACCTACAATACTTACTGAGTCTGCTGACAGAAAAGGTTTTGGTTGGCGGGTCAATTTTGGACGGGCTCCTCACCACAGCGAGGGAAGTTGCAGGACCCGGCACGACAATCTGCTGGAGAACCTTCATGTCCCAGTATGACATTGGTGCTGTTGGGGGTTGCGCAATTGTTGTGAGCCGGTCTGATAGTCAGCCACGTCATTTCCCACACAACCACCTTTTTGCTGGGTGACCTTGCCAAGCCAAGTGGGTCACAAGTCTCCGGTCAAGCCCTAACGATTTTTTTCGGTGGTTCGCGTACAATTGAAACAAGTCCATTCACCAGAGCTTGGCTTGCACTGAATAGAGGCATTGTTTTTTTACACAGCCAAACCTTGGAACCATGTGTACCCAGGGAGGCAGACAGAGAAACAGCCACAGCATGAGGCCCTTCAGACATTGATTGCTAAGGGCCCATGAATGCTAAGGCTCGCAGCCCACGGGCGGACCGGAGAAGCTTTTGAACCATTGGATGAAGCTTTGATGCTTGGACTTACGGATGCTTTCTGGGAAGGGGACGCGGGCTTTTGCCTTGTGAGTGAGTTTCACAAGACTTGGTCAGGCACTTTGCAGCACGCACAGATCCCCATTTCTGCATCACAAAACGTCTCAGCAAAGGAAGCGAACCTCTTTCCCAAAGCCCTCCTGGAACGCGGCGACGTTGCGCGTGACCTTGGACTTCGTCCGGACAGCGGCTCTGATGCTGTTCGGGGAGTGGAGGTCGTTGACCGTGTCTCCTCAAGATACGGCCTTTCAAACCAAGTCTGTTTCGTAAGTGTGAGGCGTGTAGCTAGTAAAGAAGGGCAGGACAAAGCAGCTCAGCAATCGTTCGTGGGATTGTTGCGTTCGAAAAGTCTCGGTCTTCTGAGTCTTCTGAGGTGGAAGAAGGGGCACTGCAGAACTTGGATTGCTATTTGAGACCTGTCGTGTGGCTTCTCCAAGGCAACGCTTGGCAATGCTTTGTTCATGTGTACTTAAGTCTAAACTCCTTGTACACACAAACACACACTAAGAATTAACTCCTACAACAGGATCCGTACATTATAAGGAGTTTAGAGTACAGCTCATGTGGATGTCAGAATGTTTCAGCCATGTCGTTGCAGGTGTAGGACAGAACGTTCTCATCAGCAACTTCGAAGCAGAAGCGATCGCAAGTATCTTCATGAAGAAGGAGAGCGGCTTGCTAGGGATGCTCGCAAATCTTGCAAAACTGTAGAGGCAAAGCAGTCAAGCAAGATCGCAGAAGGATTCCACTAGGATTGGGTGCATGTAGCATCATCACCAAATAATGAGAAGAAAAACGCCCAAAACAAAAAACTCACGAAGGCCCCAAGACATTTGCACGGGTATCCCGTTTTTCAACATGAAGATCCCGAAGGAGCATGCTGGAGCGTCGCTTCAACTGGTGGCAGCACGCCTGTGGGCATACCAAGCGCCTCTAGATGACAAGCCCTTGCCGATTGCAGCACAAGCTTCCCGCTCGGAAATGTTCGACGTTGTTGTTGCTGCAGGTTATCACTGCAACTTGCATAGATGTGGTGTGCAAGCGCCTGAAGCCTCCCAGAGTTCTGAGGTTTTTGCCGGAAGCCTCCACGGAGAGGCAGAGGACATGTCCAGTATCGGAAGCTTTCTGGGATTGAGCCTGCCAATCCCTCGAAGCTTGGGCTGGACGAAGCTCTTCGAAAACAATCTCATTGCTACGGATGGATTTGTACAGCCCAAGAACCGAGCTCGGGTGGGGCACGAAGATCAGTCCTTTGTCCCCAGCCTGTCGCCGTTTGCGGAAAGTCCTGTGACCCAAGTGCGACAGCTTTACGAAGCACGGCACTTGGGCGCGGCCCTCCTGCAGGCGCCAGTGGCACGGCTGCTGGGGGTGTAAACAAGTAGGGTTCACTCAAGATCTCAGAAACACATTACATGACATCAACTCCTTAAGGGTCCGAACATGCTTGGGGCATGCTTGAAAGATCTTGACAGATTTTGAGTTGTGGGCAAAACTCGGAAGTTTGTCACAAGAGACTAGAATCTAGAACAGACTTCCTCATGTGCCTTTTCGACTTGCAGCTGTCCAGAAGCTGTGAGTTGTGAGGGCGCCCAGATGCGCCTCAGACCGGACTCAAGGCACCGATTTCCGAAGACCGGCCGGAGTTTTGATTTGATCGACTGGCCCGAACTTCGGTTCAGCCAGGTCGCATCAACAGGTTCAGTTGGTCACTTTCGCCAGTTTAAAAAGACAAGCCGCGTGGGTTCTCGCAGCATGTGTGTGTGTGTTTTTTAAATAAGGGACCCCTAAAATAGACCCGAAATGTTAGGATCCCCTTAAAATCAGGACCCCAATAAGATACCCCAAACCCCCAATATGGGAGGGGCATGATTTGCAACAGAAACGCTGGTGCTTGGACCTGCCCACATGAGTCGCAAATTCTGCTTGTGCAAACAAGTGCACAAATATTCGCGGCATAGTCATCCTCTAGTTGTTCCACGAAGATTCTGAGGTGATATCCTTGCTGGACGGAATTCACCATAAGGTCCTTTGAAATTGGGACTCATGCTTCGATGCAGTTGATTATTCAGCTGGGTTTTGACACACTTCGTCGATCTTTGAAGCGCCACCATGCAGGTTGGCGACTCAGGGAAGGTCGCCAAGAATGGACTCGCAAAGTCATCGAGCAATAAGAGGCCCCCGGGGCGAAGACCAGCAAACAGGTTGTGGAAACACGTGTGGAACATCGGCCGCAAGATGCAGAACCATGCTCCTGAAGGCTGCAATGTTGTAAGACATTGCATTTTGAAAGTATAGAAGGCTGCAATATGTTGCAATGAGTTCACTTCCATTTTCGATAAGAACGAAACCGGAGACATCCCATGACAGCTGCTTCACCAGAAGCCCGCGAGTTTTAACGGCTGACAAGACGATCAGAAAGTGCAGGACTGCATGTATGGTTCCAATTTGACGATTCGAACAACTTCAGGTGAGGCATTGTTCAGTAGCTGCAGGGCTTGACCCAGCAAGACTGACTGTCTATGATTTTAATCCGATCAAATCTAATCCAGCCTAACCCTCCCAACCTATTCCAGTCTAATTCTAATCTAATCTTATCATACGTCATCTACCAATCTAACCATCTACATCTATTTAACTGAATCTAACTGCCAATCTTATCCACACACTCTTGATTTACTTTCCTTTTGTTCTAGATCTCTTCTATCCTGCTCATCTTGTCCTTCTTGCCTATTAATTACCATGTCATGTGTTTTTGTTGTCTCCTGCGTCGGTTCCAGACATCCAGAAGGGCGCAATCCCCACCCCCCTGTAGCATTTAACATAATTGTTAGCTCTAGTGCTCACTGCCTCGGCAGGCAGGTCTCGCAACAGTAGGGGCAGCTGAAGTAGGAGTAGCATTGCCGAGAGCAGTAGCTGGAGCAGCAGCAATAACAGCAGCAGCAATTCGTGCTACTACGAGTACTGCTCTTACGACTAGTCTTGCTTCTTTTACTTCTCTTGCTACTATGAACTCTTGCTTTTGCTGTTATGACGACTGCTCTTAATAATATGAACTGTTTTGGCTATGTAGTAAACCCATACTGCATTATATGAGATGCTTGCACGCAGTGTTTCTGTTTGCTCTGGTTTTTCTTGTACTTACTACCCCATTTAATTCTATGTCCTTTCGCCACCTGTCGCAATTCCTTCGTTTGTTTCCCCGTAATTCCCGCTTCCACATTGCCTACAAGAAAAGCTTCCTAGGCCCACCTTGTCCATTCCACTATAGTCTTAAAGTCCTTTCCATATTGCTGTTTAAATGCTTGTTCCTGTCATGTTATAAACAGCAATAACCTACTGTTCCATCATTCTCTCCTTCTGCGTTCTTGCCTTTTGTCTACTTTTAAGGCTTCTGGGGCTTCCCATGTTCAAATTAGTCCTTTTGGCGCAAGTCTTAGGAATACATCCGCTTGAATGGAAACCCCTAAACCTAAGAACAACAATACACCTGATGGGTGAGGTTGTTTTCATTAAATTTTGTATGGATAAATAACATGAAATTATTAAAAGTGCTTTCTTGCGATAAGGCGAGATTTCTTGACATTCATAGGCAAACTTTGTTGGCTTTCTTCACGGTCGTTGGTTGTTCAATAGGTGTTTCACGTTCACTATCATATTTCGTCTTCTTCAATTTGTTGTCTCCTATCACGCAGTTCTTCTCTTTCTCCTCTAAATTCATCATTTCCAAACATAGCGTCATAAACTCTTTGCATTATGGACTTCTGTCGAGTTCTCTCTTTTCCCCATCTTCTTGTTTGTCAGTGCTACTTTGGGCTTCTTCTTCGTATTCCTGTGTCTGTTCCTTATCCGCTTCTTCTGGTGTTCGCATACTTTCACGTTCTGTTATACTTGGCGTTTTAATGAGTTCATCTGTTTGTGTTCCCTTCTCTGGACACTCGTCAAGAGCCTCGCGAGCTTCGCGAATCACTTTTCATAGTCTTCTTATCATCTTTCCCCCCCCCCCCACACAAGTCACAATCGTCAAAATCTACCTTGTCAAACAATAACCCTTGTTGTGTTATCCTTTGTCGTTCTGGTAATATCCTTGCTCTCCTTGTTCCTGCTTCTCGTTCAACTTGTTCGTTCGTAGGACATAACGTTAAGATATAATATCAATTGGCGTAGAGAATGTTTAATAAACGTTCAAAGTGGTAAAAGGAGTTGGCTAATACTGTTGCTCCTGCGTTTGCTTATGTTCCTACGCTGTGCTTGACGAACTTGTTGAAGGTTGTATTTCTGTTGTTGGCGTTGCTTTACCTCCAATTCTTTTTGATACTTTGCTTAATCTAACTCCGCTCGCATCTCTTGAAGGTGATACGCTGTCTAATGGTGGCATTTCATCATCTTCTTCCAATTCATCTTTTAAGATTGCACCGTCTTGTATTTCTTGGTCACCTACTTTTCTAAATGCACTACTTGCTTCATGAGCTGATGATGATGACGCGTTCCTAGCAAATCGGTTGTGTGTTGTCGGGTTCTGCTCGTATTGCGTTTATCTGATCCATCCTTATTTCAGAGCCTTCGCTTTCCGAAGGCGTTGAACCGAAATCTTAAAAGGTGTTTGCGCACCATGTGGCTTCGCTATTGTTTCGAGCTGACATTACACCGCCTGGGGTGACTTCCTTCATTTGCCTTCCTGTGCTGTGTGCCGAAGGGGTCAAGCTGACTTTACACCGGATGAGTCGAGATAAACCTGGTGCTTGTAATACGAATTCATACTGAACATCCAAGTAACGTAAGAGTAGTTATAGTAATAGAAATCAGTTAAAATCTGATTAAAAGCATGAACAATTTGTTAATTCACACGGGCGCTCGTAAAACACTAAATAGTAAGTTGAGCGCCCATGAAAAGCATCAAATCTACGGAAATGCCAACTATGACTATGACTTCCGTGCGCACTTTGTTCTCACGTTTCATGTAGTACTAAGTGTGTTCTTGTTGCAAACGGGCCTTGAAAGTGTTTGTTTTTTTTTGTTTGTTTGTGTGTGTGTGGGCTTGTGTGTGTGTGTGTCTGTGTGTGTATGTATGTTCGCGTGTGCGTCTTGTGGATGGGAACTTATCAAGGGCTGTCCGTATTGGGGGGACAACTGCATGACCATGTCTCACCACTGTGATTCGCCACGGCAGGAATGCAACCATCAGCAGGGACTTGAAGTTTAAGCCAAAGTGACTACATCTACATACAGTATTGCGTTCTTTCCGAGCAGTTACACTGTCACGCACGAAGCGATCGTTTGCAAGGTTATCTAGACTTGTTGCTTGTGGCGAGTGGGCATCAACGTCTTATACTAGTTAGTGCTAGCAGGTGCTGATGGTTGGAGAGGTATTTCAACGTAAAATCGTAGCGCGGAGCGCATGGAAATGATGCGCCAGGTTGGACCCAGAACAGAACCCTTGCAATGTAAACGGCGCATACAGAACACCACCCTTCATGCCTACGCCATGCGCTTCAGATGACGAGAGTTTTCTCACTCTGCAAGGCCCGAAGCGACTTGTGTGGCATTGTGGGTGCATGTTTCATCGTGCTGTTGGCTGTCCGTCATACCAGGCGCGAGCCAAAGCGGCCAGAGCCAAAGTGGCACCAACCAAAGTGGCACAGGATTTTGCCATGGAACGTTTGCCACCCACCGTTGTCAAGCATCGAGTTGGACGGTTTCGCTGGAGGAGCTGGGCCTGTACATCAGCAGGCTTCGCGAAGCGGAGGAGTCAGCAGACGATGGCAACTTGGCCACATCTTGTTCCCAGTTTGTTCTGTTAGGTCCATTGCACATGATCATGCATGCCGTTTTGTGTATTCTCCAAGCAGGTGCTGGATTTGGTTGTTCTTGGCAATCGTCGTTTTGCTACAGGCACAGCATGTGCTGTCACCTATTCATGCCGAGTTTACAGTTGAGACGGAGACTATTCAAACATCGTTGCGTTGTGCTTTACCCTGGAAGCAGCTGCACGAAACACTGAATCACGCCTTTTCGGCGTTTAGGGTGTTTGTGATATGTATTTTGGCGTTTGGACAAGAGCACCAGATTTAGACGTGTCATTGTGAGGTGGTGTGATTGCCTTAGGGTGACCACGCTGTAGCAAAACCTAGCACTACCGGCACGACCAGCGCACGCTAAGTCGCTGCTGCTCCGTTGTAGATCTGCGTGCAGGTTTGGGAACGTGCTGCTGGATTAGCGCCGCTTGGCAAGCACAATCATGATTAGTTTGTTCGGACACAGAATGTTAGTCCAGGTCGGAGTCGTTTTCCGAATCCTCCGTGCAGTTCTGACGCCCGACAGCATGCTTGGCGAACGGCATTGCTTTGTGTTACAACGTGTTTCAATAAATTGGTAGG